TACAGTGTGCACTAATATACTGCAAATATGCCACTGTTTAGAATAGTTTGTTGTTTGCAATTTCGGAACCGGAGCGATAAATATGATGGATTTAGGTGAAATTCAACATCCCAAGCATCGGTGAATGTTCCGAATTCCTGCAAGAAATCTTGCATATTGTTCGAGCATTTGTTGCGTTAACACTTGCTATTAACCTGGGTGATTTACGTACACTTGATGGAGCGTTCCCTGTTTAGTGCTTTGAAATCGATTGTACGTATTTGATCTCTTTTGCAAACTGCAATCAGGTCTCTGTTCACGTCGTCGCAAAGAAGACTCCTGTGTTAGTTTACAAAAAACCTAGATATTTATTGCTACCTGTGCAATGTTGAAGGCAGTAAGACCCGCTTTGTGTGCTAAAAATGTTCTAGTTGGCGCATAATGTATCCAAGGTACTGTTAAAAGATGACAACCAAACGTTTTACAAACCTTTTTTTATAATTTAACAACGAAGTGATGATTATCGATGTTTTCACTAAAACTACCTTTTAAGGTCATGCCAACGAGGTGGAGTGTGTCGCCTCTAAAGTCAACAGTAATATACCGTAAATATGGCATTGTTTAGCCACAGGAAGGAACATTTGAACTCATTACGACAATATAACTCGAAAGAACTCCTAGATAATTGCGGGAAATCGAAGAACTTAATGGAGGCCTCAGAAGTACATACTATTGGACTGCGTTACGAAGATCCTAGCTATGCAACTAGGAGCGCAGATAGTTAGGGTTTTGTAAAAGACAGTTAAAAATTTGTGACGATGGATTCCAAGTTCCAAGCGTAGGTGCCAAAGCATATTTTCCTTATGTAAAAAATCCCTAGGAAGCAGTAATAAGAAAATAGTAAATACCGTACTTTAAAAAGACTACCCGGGCAATCAAATATGTAAAGTCAGTTTTGGTTTACATTAACCTCAAACTTGCTTTCGGTTTTATTTTTTTTTGAATGAACCATAAATTAAAATTAACCTAACTGACCTTAGCTGGTACACCGAATCATCTAACCAAATAGCCGTAAAATGGCCCCAAAGGGCGTTGTGTGATTTGGTGGAAACGCATCCTAAGCTTTCATAAGCGGAGCATTAAGAGTAAAGTTGCACACTGTTTTATACAACACACACGCGTAAAAAACCAATCAGGAACCACTGTCTAGTTGAGATCTGCCAAAGCGAGGAACGTCGTTTCTATCAATTGGGAACATCGCTTGAGAGTCATTGAAAGCAGTCAAGAAAAACACAGACTAAGAGATGGACGAAATGAAGTTGTGCAGAGTAAATGTTACGAGCGGCCAATAAAATGAATCTTCAGGTTACGACAAACACAATAGGCTTCCTACTAATAAAATTTTCATCTACTTGTTATCTTAAACTTCACACAAGGGTCTTGAGTGGGATCCGTTGAATTAGAGACCACTTGTCGAACATCTCAATTAATAGCAGCAAAATTGCAGCCCGCTCTAATTAATTTTCGCCTAAAGCATAAACGTCAGTTAATAAGTGAACTAACACGAATAGTATAATGCAAATAGCCCATGGGCATACAAAAAAGTGACAATGCGAGCCGAGGAGGGAAATAGAAGGGGACTTTACGAAAAGGTGCCAGGAGTGAAGTTTTTCGGAGCTTTTATGAACCCGACCATCGCGTCAACAGCCCACACTTCAAGTCGTCATTAAATGCCCAAATGAGGAAACAATGATGAGACAAAAAGGAATGACTCACACTCGAGTACATCATTAACGATGTCAGCAGTCAGCTGGATATCCTCACTGCTTCCACCCCCGGACGAGGCGAATTCGGGATCAAATAAGGGAGACTTGGCCAACCCCGCCGACCGAATGGGATACTGTGCAAATTGTTGCTGGGGCTCAGGAATTGACGCCGGCGTGGCGGGAGGTTGGCCGTAGCACCTGTAGGGCTCCAATGGCAGGGGTCCTGCATAGCACATCTGTTGCTCGCTTGGCTGGTGGTGGGGATGATAAATGTGGCTGGTTGATGGGATGGGACGTTTCTGTCCGGCAGCCATAGGTGGGGACGATTGGGATGCAAGGGTCGAGCCGGTGAGGAGTCCGACTGTCATGGTGTTCGTGTTCCTCGCTTGACAACGGCTGGTCACTTTTTCACGCAAGCCGGCCTTTACCTTACTTCTAAGAAAAATTAATGTAAATAAAACAGTGGAGGCAGAAACTGCATTTTAAATGAAGGTCCTCACGACAGAAAAGTGTTGAACGCATGACCAATTTGCAGTGTTTTCGCAAACTTGGATTCGTGGAAGAATCACCAAGTAGGGTGTGTTGATCTGTTTTCATGGGCACCAGTCTCTCAATGCAAACGCCACGGATATCAACCGTGAAAAATGGAAAGGTTTTCACCTAAGGTTTTTGGTACAACGATCAACATTCCTTTACTAACAGCCCATAAGACATTGCAAGCGAAATAATATTCATTACATTGCAGTCCCTTGAGGCGACCAAAATCCAAGTGAATTAGGGAGCGCAACAACACTTTTGGTATCTACTGGTATGTAGTATTTGGCTGAACAGGGATTAAAGCGCTATCGTTGAGGAAGAGAGCCTTTGCGTCGCACTCTGGCACTGCTAACAGTACATTTACTGATCATCACATATCCACAAATAGTCTCGCAAGAGTTGTACCGCGCTCAAGCGCAAGCGCCACCACCTAGGTGGAATCGGGGAAAAAAGGCACGTGTCGAAGAGTGCTTTCCAGAGAGCACAATATGGAACAAGTACGTGCTGCTACGCGTGAAGGGTGATCGTGTTCTTAGTGAAACTAGGCTCCAGACACACGTCAAAGCAATTTAAGATTCTCTTTCTGGAACATAACTGGGTATGCTGCACCGCTACTTGAAATCGCGATAAGGCCGAATTTTTGTGTTTAGGAACGTTTACTAATAAAGGCATTGCTTCGACATTATCCTGCTCTGTTTACAGTAAGTTATATTCGATTCAAAAGAGAAGGCAATTTCAATCAAACCTAATAAGAAATTTCGAGAGGTGAGGAAAGAGCTTAAATGAGATCTACGAAAATAGGAATAAGACTCGTGAGGTTCAAGGTGAATGTAGCGAAACATCTTAACATCTCACAGAGGCAACTTACGAGTAAGGTGGTTGTTGTTGTTGTTGAAGCGATTGCGAGACTGGAGACGAGGAATGCAGATGTTTCTGTTCAAACGACTGACTGACGTAGGAGCCCTCAGGAGGGTAACCACAGGTGTCAGAAACGTGCGGAGACTGTGGTGAAGATAGACGCGATAGCCGTGGTTTCCGTTGATGGGACTGAGATTGCGGGTGATTCGCTGTCTTAGGTTGGACTGAGGGCAGTCGTGAGGCGCAAAGTGGTGGTTTCTGTGGCTGGTGGTACGGAGAAGGCAGTTGGGGATTTTCGTAGTGCGGAGGAGTCAGAGCGGGGGGCCTCTGATGATCCGCATGGGGAGAAGGTGGAGTTGGTACTGGCTCCTGGTATTCGTAACTAACTGGTGCCAAATGCCCGCCCGAGTAATCGTGCGCCGGCGCTATGTGAGCCACCTTCAAACAAGAAAGCCAAGCATTATCTGTTGTACATTTCTGATGACGAGGAAATAAGTGTACCGCATTAAGCAACTAGTGGACAATCGGGAACGTGACCGGCATAAATAGAGGGACGCGGTTGTGTGGGTCTCAAAATAACTCAGACAGATACAAAGCCAACGCTTCGTAGATAATTAGATAGGTTTGAATTCAATAAAAAGGATGCATGCCTGATGAAAAGGCCTCTGAATGGGATGAGAGTTCAAAAATCTAAAAGTGAAAACCAAAAATCATGCGCGATGGTTAGTGGACCAACAACCACCCTTTAAGTTTATTTTTTTCCAAAAAAGAACCTGCCGAGGCTTTGAATCTCAATTTGATTAAGTGGAAGGGTAGTTAATTACATTACCCAGAAGATTAAAGTTGCGGAAGAGTGAAGAGGGCACATACTAATAAGATTGAGAAAGCACATGCTTGAAGACGAAGGAACGAGTTAGGTCGTTCCAAGCAACCAACTGTCAGTAGACGCCCTTGTGCTTGAAATCGCGCGAAAGCGACTTCCTCGACAATTCGATCAGCGTGAAACTGAGAGCGATCGTGCTAACAACGGGTCTTTTGATTAACAAGTGTGGTTAACTCGGTAAAAAAGTAGCTAGATAGGCATTGCAGTATAAGGTTGATAAATAAAGCGTTTAGAAGACTAGCTACAGTTAAAATAAAACTCCGCGAAGTCTAAGAGAGCCTCAACACACTTTGAACCTAAATATCAAACAAAAACAACAAAAGCCACGAACGTAAGGAAAATTCCTACACTTGAGAATATAAAGAGTGGTGAAGGGGCGGGTGAAGTAGTGTGACGGGGGGGGGCCAAATGAGGGAATAGGAGTCAGTTACAGCGGTGAAGAATGGCCCACCTGGTGATCACCATACAAAGCCGAGTTCGGAGGGTGATAGACAGTTGGGGAGACGCGGACATTTGGTGCGACCTCCTTCATGCGTCTAGAAAAGTCCTCCAAAGGAGGCCTCTGGCTTGGCACAGAGGTTGTTGTGGAAGGGGCATAGTCGTGGAACGCATTTTTTGCGCATTGGACGAGTGCGGTTCCAGGGGATTGGTCACTTCCACGATTACCATAGGCATAACTTCGCTGGTGCATATTATTCAAATGATGGTGGCTCGTCGAGTGGTAAGCAGTAACTTGACCCACATTTTGCTGGTACAAGAGACGCTAGAAATTAAAAAAAAGAAGTTCGTTCAGTTAGTGAGGTAAAATACGACAACGCAACGGATTGAGGAAATGTTAAGGATGTGTGGGCCAATGGCTCACAACTGCTTTTTAAACGTGAGAAGCGATAACCAGGGTAGTTGTCTAAGTGGAATTTGTGCACCTAAACGGCCGTGTTACATGTGTGTGGCAATAATTTTTGGCACAATAAGACAAAAAGCACGCGGAAATTTGCAGCCGCATTTGTTACTAGTCCTGTCGGCATAATAGGACTTCCTGAAAGGTTTCAGAAGAAGCGAAGGGGTACAAAATGCAAAATTACATGATGGAACTCAATAATCCTATTGCGGACTCAGCCAAACATACGACGTCATGACGACGAAGCACACAAAAACACGTAGAGCGTAAGAAAGCCACGACTGTAACCATTGTGCCAGAATTATCCATTTGCAATAGGAAACAAATGAGCATAGACATTGCAGTTGAAGCGTTGGGGATCACGGATAGGATTTGCAGCGCCAAAATCCACGGTTACTGTTTTCATATCACGATGTTCAATCCAATCTTGTAAAGGCATTTAAAAAATGCGAATACCAATGAGCAATGAGCACATACCTGTCTTTCAAATAAGTGGCGCGAACTTGGAAGTTGCTTGCGTTGGTTTGCTGCTTCCTCCGCAATTCTCGCAGCAGCCACCGCGGCGGCTTGTCGGTTTCTTTCGTAATTTGAGGCTAGAAAAGCGTTAGAGTTGACAATAAAACCGGATCGCGAACACATTTGCGGTGAATATTAAGTGATGCAATTCACGCCTTTCTTTTAAAAAGGAAACGCTATGGTTTAGACACTCAAGATCATAGTGATCAGCAGATGTTCAGTGAACCATGACAGACAAATTAATTCGCCGCTTCAGAGATGAGGGGAAAACAAAATTTTGAGGCAACACAAAAATAGTAATTGGATGAAATAGGTGTGCAATAGAAAAAACAGGAGCCCGCGCCCTCCCTCTCGCAGGAGACTCCAAATCGAAAGTCTTCGACGACAAAACTACACGAGATTGTCAACGCGGTGGAGACGGAGTGGCTGATGAGGCGGCGGGACGGGCGCTTCTCAATCAGGGGCCACGCAGCTGCGACCGCCAAAGACTGGCGGACTAACTTTAACCACAGCAGCTAGTGTGGACTGGTTTATGATGAAGTAACCTTATTCTAACGAGATGACCTCAACAGTTACGAGTGCTGTGTAAACGGCAAATGAGGTTGCCAGGTGACAACACGTGGAAATTTTAAACTGCACACTAACCGTCCTGATTACTGGTGTATTGCGTAAAAGGTTTGAAATTTGACAAAAAACGAGGCGATGTATTAGAACACACTTCAATAGAATTGTATTTGCAACCAAAATCTACCAATGGCATTTAGGCGAAATGAAAAGAATTGCTAATTTTGAGATATTTCACACATTTCGTGATTTCAATGAATGGAATTTCGAAGAACTAACATGACTTTAAGGGTACGAGCATAGCTTAAGGGTTGGGACGAACATGGAGGGTGCAAAAGAGGGTGCCACATTTTGACCAAAATCAAAAAATATAAAACCCAAGAACTTCGTGTCCTGGATGGTTGAGTACTCATAAAGATAAATTATCAAGGCTATCAGTTGCCTTCATCCAAAAAAGGACGGCAAAACAGCATTTCGAGAGTACTTGTCATGAGCTCAGAATGCTTCAGGAAACGCAACCAAACGTGGTTATATAGATACACTTATCATGAAAATGGCTTACGCGAAGAAATGGGTGCTTCGACCGTATGAATCGCGGATGGAGGCGCCGATGAACTCGATGCTCTGTGGGATTTAGCAGAGTCAGCTCGACCGCCGATACAACCTGTCAGTGCTCTTGGCACGTCAACTTGTGGTGATGGTGATGGCACGGACATTGGCTCTTTTTTTGTCAAAGGACAAGAATCATACCGCACCCGCTTGGGCTCCCCTTCGCCACTAGCAAGCATTGCAGGCGGGATTTCGAAGAAGGAGGGAGGTGGCGGAGGAGGAGGCGGGGGAGCGTCCTCCTGAGCAGCACTCTCCACTTCCGCTGTGACCGTCTCCCAACGCGGATCAGGACCCTGCAGAAGACGACAGAGAGAGGAGTTAGCCAAGGCGGCGTCTTCATCCTCACTGGTATCCCGAACGTTGGGTTTGCGGCTCGTTTCTCTAGCGGTGGTGCTTTGAAATTGGACCTGGCTGTTTTCCTGTGCTAGGAGGGCCTCCTTTGGGTGAGGCGGGGGTGGTAGGTTTGATTGTAGCGAGTTCAGCGACTTTGATGATACAGAGGACTGTTGTCCAACATCATCTGTAGATATATAAATTACGATGCAACCTCATTGGAGGTCTAACAACACAGAAGAAATAAGCAACTTAATGGATGCTTAAGTAGGGCGTTTTGTTGAAGCGTGAACACACATAGAAGCCTGGACCCGCAGAGATTTGTATGAAGCTCTTCGTCAACATGAATTACTAATCAGATGGACAAATTTAGCAATTTTTGTATATAAGTGATGAGAAGTTAGAAGTCAAAACTGCACTTCCTCATGAGGCTACACAAGTAATTTAAAGCTATGAAATAAAAAATAAATCTGGCTAAAAATGGTTTCAAAAAGAACCAATAAAACGTGCCTTATCAGACCGAGCATTGTCGAGGATATACGTAACCACGCAACGACAATAAACTGACTTTTACAAAATAGCACAATCAGCATAAGACTGGTACCAAGAAGCAAGCAGATTATCAAAAAGTTTTAAATTAGGCCAAACGTGTAGACGAGGTTCACTTACAATGCTGCAATTGATGCGCTGGTTTGGCGAGATTCATCTGGGGATCCACAATGACGGAGAGTGGACGATCGAGTGGCCTCGATGTTGATTTCTCGTCAGTTGTGGAGGTTGGCGTGAGAGATGAAGTGGAAGGAACTGCCACGGCTAGACGGTTAGCTCGCACAGAGCACGCCGTTGGGACGGATGGAGCAAGGCTCGTCAGGGTCTCGGAGGACGCTGTGGACGCGACAGAAGTGGCATTGGAGCCGTTGAAGGATGCAGCAGGAGCCAAAGGACAACCGTGTCTCAATAGGTGCGCCAGGGAGGAGCAAGAAGACGACGAGGAATTGGGGCTCTGGTATGGATAAGAGGTAATCTCCTATTTAATTTGAAGCATGTTTCATTGCCGAAAAGCCTTATTCTGATTAAATACCACAACTATTTTGATGCGTGTGATATTAGCATTTGCATTCCTAGTGTAATCACAGGAAAGAGGAGGTCGGAACTAGGAGATATGGATCAAATGAGGTGAAAACGTAGCTAGTGGATTTGATCAAAGCTTTATGTGATGGCGATTGCAGATGGTCATTTCGTTTTCCAGGCACAACAAATGCAAACGGGTAAATACCTCATCGATAAAGAAAATATATGGTTAGTGACATGCACATGGGCGTTCTCAGTACCACAAAGCAGCACTAGATAGGTCCAAAAGCACTCCAAGGATAATCTCTTGAGAACAGGGATCGGGAATTGCGTGTTCTTAAAAACCCAATAGCGTTGCAAGTTGCGCTCACTCCACAGGTGTGCAGAGTAGAGGAGCAATAAAATGGCAGTAACTTTGGAAATTACACACGTGAAAGTCATTTGAGCGGAGACAATTGACACTTAAGGAAGCAATGAAACGATCGCGCAAGAAGACACAATGATCGGTTATTGTTTAAACTAAACAAAACGGCTTAGATTAGAACGGCGAGTTCGGATTGCCAGGTGCAGCCTACAGCTACCAAATGCAAGTTGTAGGAAGGTAAATTTGCTTAAGACACTCATTTAAGATAGATAGGGTAAAGCAATGACGTGCCACACATGTAGATGCTAATCCCAAAAAGACAGCCAATAGTTCAGAAAAATATTTACCGTTAGACTAGAGTCAGGGATGATGCCACAATTGAAGTGCGATATTTCATTAACCGATTGACGTGAGAAGATTAACGAAGAAGTTGAAACATAATTCGATATCTGCCTATTGAATGAGCAACTACTCAAAATCGCGATAAAACCTGGAGCGCTATCAAATATTTGAAACACGAACGTACAAAAAGATACAACATAAACTTCCGCAAAAGAAAGCAAAATGGTCATAAATAATTTGATCGACACAAGGCAGGCATTGCAACGAGCGCGAACCATGAACACTTGGGAGGTAGAGCTTGGATTCGCCGCACGTGGTCCGTTGGGGCTGCTTGGTGTCACACCGGGCCACTCTTCATTCTCCAGACCAAACAGCGTGAAGGAGTTTAACTTCGGAGCTTGGCAACAGGCTGACGAGGGACCGCTGTTTGACAAGGTCTGGCGAAATTCCGTACTGCGCGAGTCCACCATCACCTCCGACGAGTTGCGATGCCGTCCGCAACAATTAGAGCCAGATGTTCTCTTAAATCTGACGTCCTGCACATCCCCACCCATTAAGAGAGATTCAAGAACTCCAGCAGTGGAGTGAATCTCCTGTGATGAGGAGGCAGAAGAGACGGATATTGTGTGCTTTCGAGCTGGTGGCGGCTGGCGACCAACCGCAATCCAGGGACTACTACTCGCCATTGAGTCAAAGGAAGTGGGAGTCGTTGTGCCCGATGTTTGTGCAGACGACGCAGTAAGTGTGGAGAGAGGCTGATGATGCGACTGCTGGCAGCATCCTAAGCGCTGCCTCGTCTAACAAGCAAAATAACACAAGAACCGTTTGAAAAACGCTCGAAAATAATGTCTTACGACCCTGATTAGTCGTCAATCCAGTCAGTGCTTAAAATAGATTTCACTGCCATGTGTCATGTTCGGCCCCAACACGAAAATGAACTTCTTGTCACGAAATTTACACACCAGTTAAAAATAGCCTACTTTATGAAATCACATATTTTGCGTATGGCATACAGGAATCCAAAACACACGACAAGACGGATGCTTTTTCCCGTCAATACGCAAATTTGAATTTAAATTACACCATTTAATTTCACTAGTAGCTACGAAACATGCAAGTACCTCTCCCGCAGAAGGCAACTCAACTATTTCGTAATTAAACTGACGTAATCTCCCGTATTATTACCTTTTTGGGTCCCCTACACAAACAGTCCCCTCCTCTACGACCATTTAAGCTTGACAGACCACTCAGATCCAAAAAGCAATGGAATACATATTACTTTTCTCAACCATTTATGGAGCAATAACAGAGTAAATAACTGAACTTTAATTAAATTACCCGAGTTAATGGAAAACGTGTGAAATTAAATGTAGTTAAGCTTATTTTCTAATAGGTTCGAAAATCACCAAGGATTTGGGTATTCAATTAGTAGCGCCTAATTCATCGCAAGTTATAGAATACCAAATACCTGGGTAAAATGTACAAACAAATGAGGAAAAACGTGCAGCACCAGGAGTGCTTGTTTCGGGTTATCGGTAACTGTTAAACGCGGTTAATGCCCGGAGCAAAACCAGGAATCTTTTTTCACTGGAATGGAGGAATAAACTCAAATGCAAACAACTGCCAAAAATAATGGTCGTCATTATTACCATGCTACAAAAACGGTAACAAGTTCCTTTTATTTCCCTCGAGGCCAACTGAGGAAACAAAATTTGACCCCTGGCGTATCAATGGCGTGTGCATAATGCACGTTTCACGATGGAGAAACAGGGCGCGTTTAATTGTAAAAAAACAACGACACAACTGTCGAAATTCCAAAAGCCGAACCAGAAGATTAGTCCGCTCGTGGGTGGCTTAAAAGCCGCACATCAAGCGTTAAGGCCGAATCGGGTCGTGCCTACAGTGCAGCACCATAAAATGTAAATGCAAGAATTGACACGCACGCACGCGATGCACACGAATCACCCGCGCACCCTGGAGCTGGGGACACGTGGTGTGTTTGATTGTTGAAAAACGCTGGCACCGATCGCGATTTCGGATGGCAGGCAGAGAGGCGGCAATGGTAAAGGTGGAATAAAGTACCCCCACGAAACGTGGAAATAACGAACAGGAGAGGACGGTGGACCTCAGTCAACGTTTGAAGTACTTAATTTTAAGGTCGAATAAGTGACAACATTGAGCCAACCAAGAAGAAAGAACAGTGTCGACACTAGAAGTGAAGTTCCCCGAAGATTCAAATTGCTTAACAGGAGTTGGGGATGATCTCTCACCTACCACAAATGCTACAACTGATGGTTGCATCAGTATAGACACTCAGTGTTAGAAATTAAAAGCGAACAGAATAGATAAGCCTCACCCCATAGACGACTGAACCGGCCGGGGGGTGGTCCTTCTTGTTGGCGTGAGAACTATAAAGGAGTGGAGTCGGAGGCGGACCACCGTCGGAGGTGACACTTAATTCCTGCACCAATGAAGGCCGCTTGTGGGGCTGCTGCTGGGGAGCGGTGGAGACTGGGGCGGGCCCGGTAGGAGACTCCTTCAGCAACGAAGGCGCAGGCGGATGTGAAGGCTGTTGCTGAAACTTTTCTATTACGACAAAAATGAAAAAGTCCATCCTGAACCTTCTAACCGAGGTCTTTTGCAATCAAGGACTATTCGGACCAGCGGCAAAACAACTACGGTGATTATTAGAGTAACCTTGTGGAATAGGCGAGCTTGAAATACCAGTGAACTGAATTCTGATACACCAATGAGAGCTGACCGCAAACGGCTCCGACAACACGCTCACAATAGCATCTTTCCGTCCAATTGGCCTTTCAAAAAATTAATAAAAGCCCCCATAAGTTTCAAACGAGACAAACACAAACTGAATTGCAGCTACCAAAACATTATTTATACAATAAACCAAACAAAAGATTAACGACATGTAAACAAGGCACGGGTTATAGCAGTTTCAATTGAAGAGATAAATGCTTATTGTTTTCCTTACGCAGCGTGCACCATGAAGATCAGGTAAAAAAAATGAAAAATAGTACAGAATAATATGACCCAAAGAGGCAGCTAAAAATTTAAAGAACGAGAAAATCAGTCGCGTGATCGTGAACGCAAACGATAAAACGAAAAAATGAGGAAGAGTGGCGGGTAGAAAATTAGTGCCAGTAAATGATGGGATGTAATTCAACATGGAATTACCTTCAGCTAATCAGAAGCAAGCATTTAAATGCAGATTGGTACAAATAAAAGCATACACTTGGGTGGAGTTCGAATAAGAGTCCGCGAGATATAAACACGAGGGGTGAGTCAATTATACTGGAAATAGGTAATCGCTAAATGACATTCTTGATACCATCTAGTTTCCATAAACGAATCCAGAAGTTAGATCTACTCACCAGCCAGATGCTGGCAGCATCTCGAGTCCAAAGCGTCTGAGGATGAACGTGTAAGATGAATGGAAGACGAGGAGGAGGATGAGGAAGTGGTGAGTTGGTTGGAGAAAAACTTGGACAGGATCTCTGGTCCAAGATGACGAGTCACAATAGCGCGGACTCGCTGGGCCACCATGTCTGGCTCGGCGGATACAGCCTCCTTGATCTCACGAATGGCCTCAGGCAACAAGAGGCTCAAAAAAATAGAGATTCTATGTCGAACAAAAGTAAAGCTAAGCTATTAATCAATTCCAGATTAGCAGGACACAGAAGTAGCTCAATAAAACTAAAACTAACACAGCTAACGCTATTATGCGATCTTTTCGACGAATATGGCACTTTCACACTTAAACTATTTGCCTTAGGATTGGAACTTCACTATAAACTCAAATTCGGTGCGTCTAATAACACCAAATTCCAACAGTTACGCATTTCACTGATTCGTTTCTAGTTGCTTGACACAAGAGACCCTCTTTCCTGCGGATTAGGGCACTTCAGCGAAGGGTATGCGCGTTTTCACTCACCGATCGTGCTGCGACGTTGCCTGATTGAAGGCAGGAGGTAGAGATGGTGGGTTGGCTGTTTCGGAGACATTCGGGCGCTGTCGAAAACGTTGCTGCTGCAGCTGACTGTGATACCCTGTCGTAGGCGAATCCTCCTTCTGCAGCTGAAGGTCGTGCTGAGGGAGGGCAGAGGAGTCTCGGGCTCGGATAACAGGGGATAAAATTGCTGAAAGAAAAAAAACACCAAAAATAATACCACCTGCGGTGTTCATCTTTGCCGAATGTACAATACATAACCTAAAAGATAAACGAACGTTCTATTGCAAAGAGCTAAAGGACTAAAAATCGCTGACAAAATGTAACGAAAGAGAACTGCTTTCAACCGATAAAGCATTTTTAAAAACGCCGAAATCACAACAACCGTATAATGTGCAGTATACCTATTGAACCCTCATTGGGCGAATGTTTTATCCAAACAGCACTACCTGCCGCATAAAAAAAGATATGAAATTTCGCACAAAACTAAGAAAGGACGACAAACATTTCCAGGTTAATTAAATGGAATACCAGTAGTTGGGCGTAATTTTATAATCCAATGATAAAAGACAGAGCCATATTTCAACATCACTTTAAAGACGCTGGTCCTAAAGCGTTCCACGTACGACAGTTCCCCCCA